GAGAGAGAGAGAGAGAGAGAGAGAGAGAGAGAGAGAGAGAGAGAGAGAGAGAGAGAGATGCGATGGCGGCCGGAGGAGAACCTTAGACGGGGACGTCGGTAGTTGGCAGTCCTTTGCGAGTGGAGGGAATCTGGTCGGCCGCGAAGACGGTCGTTCAGTCTCCCAAACGGAACGGATGACCGCTCAGCACGAAACGACCGACCTGCCAAGCCGAAACCCTCCCCGGTAGGACCCGGTAGCTTTTCCATAGCACGCCCACCATGGCCCCCCCCCAAAAAAATCAATTTTTAATCGTTTTTGGGAGTCCATATCGAGCCTGCTGGGACTCCCGATGTCTCCGGGAACAGGCTTAAAAGGTTCCATACCTTTTTTCCTTCTTCATAAAAGCCCAGGGTGTTGTAGAGGCCAAGGACCAGACCCGCGGTGATTGCTGGTAGCGGCAGCCAATGGTTGTCCTGACAGGATAGGCCACCTACCTAAGACCACAACGCAAACGCGCCTCGATATACCTCCATATAGCCAGCCTTCGCAATAGAAAGCGCGATCATGCCATGCAGCACGCCGCACCCACACCCAACACACACTTCAAGCAGGCGCCAGTCTGGCCGTTTGAATTCGTTCATCCGTGGGTGTACCAACTGAGCTAGCCCGTTGGCGGGAGAGTTTTCGAGAGTCAGCGGAACTGCGAGCTGTGGAACGTGGAACGTCGCCCTCGCCCGCTCGGCCGTTGAGAGACCAACGGGGGGATTTGAATGTTTGGCGCAACGAGGAGCAAGTGGCGATGAGTGCAGAGCACAGCCGAGGAAGGAGAGGGGGAGCGAGAGGTGGCGGCATGGATGGGTGCCTTGAGAGATGCAGTTCCGACGGCGGCAAAATTTTGACGACGGGCGGCGGGCTGTCAACGAAAGTTGGCGCGTAGTTTTCAAAGTTGCCGCCTAAATGCATTCGGCGGGGTGAAGCCATGCGTGTGTGTGTGCCCACGTTTTTCGACGAACAAGTCCGTAAATCCGGTCTGATGGGTTTACGTTTACGATACGATACGATATGATATGATACGCCTGTTTTCCGGTGTGGCTTCGCCGTCATGAAAGAGATTGATCAGGCGTAGATGTCCTTGCGCACCTAAAGCTGGGCGGTCTCACAGCGCACAGCCAAACGTGCGTACGTGGCGTTCGTTCGGTGGTCCCGCCGCCGTACGAGCTGCGTGCGGAGGTGCACGGATCTACTCGCAGCTGTAGGGCTAAAACAATCATGCTTTCGTGGAATTTATCGCTATGGCTGGTCTGCTTTCTCCTCGTGGCGGCTCTTCTCGGGCTTATAATGTATATGGTGAGTATGGGCATGGGGGGCGGACATATCTATCGCCATGGTTTTCATGGCGTCCTCAGAATGTACTGTGTCGCTATCTCTCCATTCTCTCAATGACATCTTTTCTACTCGGATGTCTCCTTCTGGAGTCTATGCTCATCTACTCAGAAGTCTCCATGCCATTCTCCTAATCACTCGGCTCGTCGATCCTCTTTATCTGTAATTTCTCGTCCTCTTGTTTATCACTGCTTGTTTATCAGTTTATGCACCCACCGATGGCCACTGCTTGTGTATCTCTGCCGATCTAGATGGTCACTGCTTGTTTATCAGTTTATGTCACCGATGTGCCCATTGGTCATCTTCCCCTTCCATTCTTTCCCTACCTGCTGATCTACCTATCTACTTCTTTGTCTATGTCGTGCCCATCTATCAACCTAGCAGTTTGTCTGTCTGTATGTCTATCCCATCTGCCCCTCTCTCTTCTATATCTCCATCTATCTACCTACCTACCTATCTACCTATCTACCTATCTACCTATCTACCTATCTACCTGTCTAGGTATTATCTATCCATTTAGATAAGGTCTATCCGTCTACCCAATCTGTAAATCCATGTATCTCTTTGTGTATCTATCTATCTATCTATCTATCTGTCTATCTATCTATCTATCTATCTATCTATCTATCTATCTATCTATCTATCTATCTATCTATTTAGATAATGTCTATCGATGTATCTAATCTGTTAATATATCTATCTTTGTCTTATCTATCTATCTACAAATTTGTAAATCTATAAATCTATCTGTCTATCTATCTCTATCTTCATGTATCTACCTATCTCTGTATCTGCCTTCGTCTACTGATCAGGGAGGCTTTCTTTGGAAGACTGTATGTCGATCCGCCAAGTTCGTGGTCTAGAGTAGAAGGTCGGAATTTGGACGTACGTGTGGTCTAGGGGAGAAGGTCGAAATTTGGACGTACGTGTGGTCTAGGGGAGAAGGTCGAAATTTAGACGTACGTGCGTGCAGTCGTCCATGTTTTTTGATACTATGTACCGTCAAATGACGGGAGTGGCTGATTTAGTCTTGTGTAACATGATGGGGGGCCTTGGTGCAAATTGCCCGCCTTGCCCTTTTGGCGACCATGACCTGCCTGCCTTCGTCGTTGCCAGGCAGGCTATTACAGTATATGATATCAAGCAAGCTCACGTCTAAAGGATCGCGGGTTGCTCTACATATACTGTATGTAGTTGTCGGGGTTTCGTATTGTTCTGCGAATGAGGTCATAGCTGACTGCCACGTGGCCCCTCATTATGAAGATGAGGGTAATCAATCGCATCGCAGATAAAAGATCACGTGATTTCCTTTTCCTGTTCTTAGTTTCTTTTTTTGTCTGTATCTGCGAGGAACCTAAAGCGTGCAGGGGTCCTCTGGATAGGCGTAGTATTGAAGTGGTAGGTGTGAGTATTTGAATTAAAAAAAAAAAAAAAAGAGAAGTGGTAGGTGAGTAGTGAGGGGTGAAACTGAGAGAAGAATACATCTTTCTTAAAAATAAAATAAAATATAATAAATTATATAGGGAAGAGAAGTACATGAACGGCCCGCTGAGGGGTTTGGAAATGCGAAAATTGAGCTCGTGTAAGAATGCACCTGGCTGGATGTTCATGCGGAAGTCCATTTATTCCCTGAACGTGGACGTCGAGAAGCCCAGGTGCATTTCGACCGGGCTCTCTCTGTCCTTCCCCCTAACATGGAGTATGTTGCCTGAGAGGCAAACACGTGTCAGCTGCGTGGTGTCGCCCACTCTGCTGTACGTTTTTTTATACCGTAGTAATCATTTCAACGCTTACAAGCGGATAGTAGCGGGGTTCGGTAGGTAGTGCTCTTAGTCTGTTAGTTGTGTTAAAGTAGAAAAAAAAGAGGAAAAAAAAAAGAAAATAAAAAAGGAAAATAAAAGGAAAATAAAAAAGGGAAAAAAGGAAAAAAAAGGGAAAAAAAAGAAAAATAAAAGGAGAAAAAGGGGAAAAAAAGGGAAAAAAAGGAAAAAAAAAGGAAAGACACACAAACAAGTAGGATGCGCTCTCCTTGCGTCTGCCGCTGTTTGTCTTTTTTTTTGGTTTTGCGAAGTCACTCTCTTATATATCATATTACTAGTAAGTATCTATGTACGCCACGAAGAACCGCCCAGGGAACCCTACCGTAGGCGGAGAGGCAGAATATGGACACAGGCGAGAAAGGAGCGGCAAGGAGCAGGGGAACAGGCGGGAAAAGGGGGCACGGTGGCTGATGAGAGAGGTGGGGTCAACGGACAGCAGACTGCGGAGTCCCGTGGTTGGTGTGGGTGAGTGATGGTCTGATTTTACGTATTTTATGTGGAGGCCAGACTATCGGCCTCGCTCCATTACTCAACGTTCGACATGTATCTGGACTACTGACTGGACCAGATCCATGCGGCGGACCGATCGAACATTTTGAATGTAATTAGTCCACGATCAGCTCCAGATACATTTATGAAGTTGTGCAGTCCAGCGATGCCCTACGGCTTGAGATCGTCGGCGGGGGCGGCTGTACAGACACTCCTGAGAGTTACAGACGGCGATATCTGTTTTTTTTATTTTTTTATTATTATTTTTTTTTATTTTTAAATTTGGACCATTTCTCGATTTATGCGTGTCATCCTTGCGCAGGGGCCATGCTAATCTTCTTTCCCTGTATCGTTCCAATTTTAACGGATGTCCCGAAGGACTTTTTTTTTTTTTTTTTTTTTTTTGGAACTCTTCCTGTGAGCGTTTTCAGAACAACATCGTCGTCTGTCGGCCACCACCCTTCGGGGTGAGAGTTGCATCGATGATGTTTTTCTGTGTTTGTGTTTTTTTTTTGGGTTCGCCCTGTCATTTTTATCCACGTGACATCATTCGTATCTACTCCTGTCTCTTATACACATCTAGATGTGTATAAGAGACAGGAGCGAGAGAGAGAGAGAGAGAGAGAGAGAGAGAGAGAGAGAGAGAGAGAGAATGACTCTCGTGGATATCTCGGCCAACGAGGACTTTCCTCGCCTATTGTCAACGGATAAACGATGGTAGGCATGAAGGTCGGAGAGAGAGAGAGAGAGAGAGAGAGAGAGAGAGAGAGAGAGAGAGAGACCCTCTGCACAGCTTGCCGGTGGATCGACACGTGCATGTGGTCTTTTTCCATCACGTTCGGTCTTCGATCTATTGCCACGATCAGTGGGATCTGGATAGACCAACTACGAGGTGACCGTAGGACAACGTCTACATGGACCTGACATCAATCTCAAACATGTAGGAAAACACTCGAGTAAGGTTATTCGAGACAGCGAGGCTGGACCTGGATAGACCAGTCACCATGGAGGAAATTATGCGAACAATAAAGGCACGTACTAGTGGATGACCTAATGGTGAAGTTTTATACGAAGTATTAGGAAGTGGTGCGGCATGTACTAGTGGATCTCTAGGATGAAGTTTTGAGAGGTGGATGGCTAGGGAAGGAAATGACTTGTGTAGTCATTGCTGTGCGATTTCAAGAAGGGAGATAAATCTGATGTAAAGAACTGGCGCGTGATATCCCTCATGAATGTCTCCTACAAAATCCTGACAATTGTTTTTGCATGATACCGTCAGGGACTGGTGGAGGGTGATCAGGGGGCCTTTTATACAGGGAAGGTCCATATTCAACAGCATTGTGACAACCATTGAGACATTGGAAGTGGTGCAGTCCAAAAATTAAGAAATTGTCATCCTGTTGCTGGATTTTGAGCAGGCCTATGATAAAGTTAATTGAACATTCGTTTTAACGACCTTAAACCACCACTACCTCGCCGGCCTAAATTCACCTTTCCTGGCCTTACGGACCTGGTTCTTAGGGGGTGGCAACTGGCAGGTGCAGGTGGGTCCAGTCCAAGGATTTTCAAGCGCCAACTTTGGAGATTTTTAGCGCTTAGAAGAATTAACGAAAAAAATCTGAAAATTTGAGATCCTGTAGATTAGATTATGATCTTTCTAGGGAAAATATCAATATCATAGGGTTCAGCCTTCTGATGAGTCGGTGAAACTCCGACGAAATAGTTTGTCACAGCCCCTCGTTTGTTGTCCTCTTCTCTCTCTGTGCCTACGGTTTACCGGGCAGTTCTGTTTGTGTCGATATATATGTATATATATGAAACTCCGACGAAACAGTTTGTCACAGCCCCTCGTTTGTTGTCCTCTTCTCTCTCTCTGCCTACGGTTTACCGGGCAGTTCTGTTTGTGACGATATATATATACATATACCCCTCGTTTGTTGTCCTCTTCTCTCTCTCTGCCTACGGTTTTACCGGGCAGTTCTGTTTGTGACGATATATACTCTGAAATAAATGCCGCGTCGTTTCGTTGCATTTTCAATTTTTGCCACTGGACAACATGTGGGCCGACGGGAAAAGTACCCCAACTTTCGTGATTTTTTGCTCTCAGAAGGATAACTCAACAACTTCGCAAATTCACAGGCTTATAGATTTGATCGTGGAATTTTCACGAAGTAAATCATGGGGGCAATTCGACGCATATTCCAATTTTGCCACTTCACCAGTTCCCCCCACTGCACTACCGGTAGCCCTCGTGGATGGTCCCCCTCTAATTTAGGACGGTAGGCACTGGTTCCAAACATTGGGTGTTTGGCCGAGTAGTAGATATTGGCCGCAGGAAAAAATAGAGTAAAAACATTTCGGGCGCGGCGCGACCGGGAGTGCCGCGCCGCTCCGCTCCGCTGTCAACATGGGCCGGCTCGTGAGTTGGTGGCGCCTTGTCAGCTTGGCTCCCTCTGAGGAATATCGAGGAGTGATGTGGGCAATGGGGGTTACAACGGCACGCGATGGAGCGAGGGTCCGATGGTTTTGTCTGGCGCAACCATTGACGTGATGCTTCGGCTGAGGGTTCTTCCAGCCTTGATAACGTAGGCTGAAAAGGTTTCTTGCTCTGTGCTTCATTTATGTGGTGTCACGGGTTGACATGCTAGTGGAGGT